AATTTTGGTAACATTTGTGAATGAAAATAAATATTTTTTCGTTCACCATTAATTTCTTGATATAAAACACCACCAATAGAGTAATCTGATGCATCTGTTGATAATATAAGTGTTGCATCAGAATCTGGATAATTTAAAAATAATGGTTCATTAATAAGAATATTTTTTAATTGATTAAATGCTTCACGTTGTGGTGTATCCCATTTAAATTTATACTTGTTTTTCGTAATTAAATTTGTAACAGCTAATATTGGTGCGGCTATTTTTGCATAGTCTTGTATATACTTCCTATACCAACCAATTGTACCTATAAATGCATTTGCTTGTTTTAAAGATGTTGGTTGTGGAATAGATAATATTTTTTCAATTCGATCTTGAAGTGGTTTTGTACCTGCAGAGCAAATTGTATGACCTAAATAATTAATACTTGTTCGAATTAATTCACATTTTTGTGGGTTCAATTGAAATTTGTGCTTGTTAAGGATTGTTAATACTTGATGAAGATGTTGGAGGTGTTGATCGAAGGTGTTGGAATAAATTAATATATCATCAAGATAAATAAAACAAAATTGTTTTCACGGTAGTAATAAATCCGACATAATTCTTTGAAATGGCGGAGGGCTGTTCTTCAACCCTTGCGCCAATATATTAAATTCAAAGAGTCCATGTATCGTAATGAAGGTTGTTTTGTGTCGATCTTCTGGACGAATTGGTATCTGGAAATATCCTGATCGTAAATCTAATTTTGTATAAAATCTTTGACCACCAACTTGTTCGAGTGCGTGTTCACGATTTGGTAATGGATAATTATCTGGAATAGTTATATCATTTAATTTCCTATAATCAATAATAAATCTATATGAACCATCACGTTTTTTAACTAATAATACAGGTGCAGAATATTGAGAATGTGGTGGTCGAATTTGTTTATTTTTTAACATTTGTTGGAGAATATTAAACATTGCATTTTGTTTTTCATTTGTTTGGGGGTATGGTCGAGACGTAGTTGGAGGAGCATCACGAGTACAAATAACATGAGCCTTTGTTGTTTCCGCAATAGTTGTTGTTGTTGTATCAAAAAGTTGATGATGTCTGGTTAAAATCTGTTGTGTTCTAAGAAATTCTTGTTGATCTTGTAAATGCATCAGTGAATTTGCAATATTTTGTTCACTAGTTGATGTTAAAGGTGTTGTATTAACTTCATATGTTGTATCTTTTGCTTTTGTATCTAAAATGGTAGAAATATAAGCAACAGTTGAAGATGGTGCCGCAGTTCCAATAATAATATTTGATTTTAAATAACACGTTGATGCTGCTGGATTATAAACAGAAATCCATGCACTATGATTTATAATTGATATAAATGCATGTGGACTAATTAAATTTTTGTAATGAGTAAGATGATACGCGGGGAAGAATAATAATTGTCCCGATGATACTTGTGTGCCTATTTGAATTTTCTTCTCTTGATATGGATAAATACACGTAGAACTAATTAATCGGCATAATACTTTAACATTATCAATTTGATTCTCCATAGGAATTGTAACCATATTTTTTAATGTGTGTATTTGAATTTGTTGATCTTTTGAATTAAGGTTTACTTTGTATTTATTAATATAATCCATTCCTAAAATACAATCTGTACATAATGAACTAACAACTCCTACCAGAATATTTGTTTTAATTCCACCAAATTCGATAATTATTTTTACAAAACCTATTGCTTTAAATGATGTACACCCATCTGCCATTAAATAACGTTGTGGATTAGTATTAATAGGTAAATGCTTTGTTCGTTTTAATGCAGCTTTACTAATAAAAGAAGTTTTTGCTCCAGAATCAAACATAATTTTCATTGAAACTTGATTAACATTAGAAAAAATAAAAATTGGTGATGGATTATTACTAAATATGGAGGAGACATTACCATCATTCAATGGCCCCTCTCTTGAAAATATGGACAATTTCGAATGTAATGATCACCTGCACCACATCTATAACATTGATAAGGTGGTTTAGGTACTGCTGTGTAATATTCATTTGTCGTTGGAGCAGTTGCTGGTTCTCGACCGGAATTATTATTGCTGTTAAATTGAGTATTTTTATATGAATTATTAAAGTTTAGTTGGTGAGATGAAATCGGTTGGTGAATCTGTAATGAATTAATATTCATGGCCTTCGACTTTAATGTTGGTGGATCTGGGGATTTACGATTGACAGCTTGATCAATCATACTATCTTTTTCATCTAATAATTTAAGTTCTTCCACTTTCTGAGCATATTTCAAAAATTCTTCAGTTGTTTGTGGATTTTTCAATAAAACATCAAAACGTAATGATGGTTTTAAACCATCTTTTAAATATTGCAATTTACTAGCATCATCCATTAAAGCATTAGCTTCTTTACATAACTTCATAATTTCAAAATAATATTGTCTAACATCTTGAGTTAAACCTTGTTGGTAATGACGTAATCGATGAAATGAAATATCAGCTTTTCCGGTTGATTCAAATGTATTAATTAATTTTTGTGTAAATAATGTCCATGTTTTGAACAAATGCATATTATCAAAAAACCAGTCTCGTGCATCAGCTTCTAAGCAAGTAGATATAAAAAATAATTTGTCTTCATCAGTTAATTGCAATATATACATGGCTTGTTGAGTTTCTCGTAGCCATTTTGACACATTCTGTTTTGATTTTCCTGAAAATTTTTGTAATTTTTCTAAACTAGCAATCAACATTTGATTTCGAAGAGGCTCTACAATAATTTCTTTAAAAGTACTCATCGTTTCTTGTTCCGATTGTTTTGAAGCTGATTCCGATGATGATAACTGTGCTGATCGGGAAGTTTTGTTTTCATATTGGTGAAGTAAATTTTGAATAAAAGAATTAAATGTTGCCTTGTGATGTCGTTGTTTAAAATACCAAATAAGTGCTTCACCAGTTAAAATATCAGGAATTAATTTGTTTCGTTCATTTGATGATAATTGAAAAGAGTCAAATATCTCAATAATTTGTGTTAACCATTTCTCAACAGTACCTTGACCATTAAATTTTTTTATTGAATTTAATTGTACTTCAACTGTAGTTAATTTTTTGTTTATCTGTATGATCTTTTGGCTGATCATTTAAATCATGACCAGTCAACTCATTTAAGTTCCCATTACCAACTGAACTAATCTTGTTCATGACTATTGCTGTTTCTTCCAAGTTTATTTTATCATCTTCGTCATTTCTTATAAAATCACCTTTTGATTTTTCATTTTTAATCGTTAATCCTGAACCGTCAATAGTCATGTGTGTAAAATCTGTATTACTTCGAGTTGCTTTATTGCTCATAGGTTAAGCTTTTGCTCGCCATGCGGGACTTGTATCAATAATAATAATGATAATAATACTTGAAATGATAGTACGACCACCGGTTAGTGCACCATTTGTTAGGTTTCTTTCTACCTTTATTTTCAACATGAGAAACCTGAACAAGTAAAATGTAAAAAAAACAACAAAACAGAAAAAAAAATAACAATAATGACCACTCTCAGGTCTAAACAAAAAACAGATACAACCTTATCTGACAAAAAACAACAACTGAGAGAGAGAGAGCAAAACACACACACTATACACCACGAAGAACAACAAAAAAAAACAACCAACATGCATATATATGTTGGTCAGAAGGATCGTCATCTATATATATATATATATATATATACACATATATATAGATGGCAGATCCTGACAATTATGTTGATGACTTGGTGTTGATGTCTTATGAATGAATTCTTCTTCTTCATATATTTCTTCAATTTCATCGAAATTACGACCACCAACATACTTTTGTATTTGAACAAAAAGTGATTCACGATAGGAAACACTCTCTTCAAATGTTAATTGTAAACTAATCACTTCTTCAAATAATTTGTCGTGATCAAGTTCAAGTTTAAGAATAGCTACACATTGTTCTATTTGATCGAATATAATTTGATGAATTTCGATGATTCCTAAAATCAAAGAAATTCTTTTCTCTTCGTGCTTAGTCATAAAAAATATACCGAAAATAGATAATGTTTTAGCTAATAAATAATGCTCTTCATAATATTTATTTATATATTTAATGACATTTGGTTAATATTTTGTAAAGGAAGAAGTTGCTTTTTAGAGCAGTCATCCTATTCTGCGATGTTGAACATTGCGGAATCAGTTTCGTCTCCGGAGTCAGTTTCACCCAATTCCGGGAACTCCGTCATCATTCAGCAAAAGAGACCTATTCGATATCAATCGAGTTCCACGAATTCCGGGAATTGAGTGGAGAGAGAATTAGTGGGAATTGGAAGGAATTCTAGAATCAGAAGGAATTCGATCGATATCGATGGGGTCTGTTCTGTAGAATCATAATCGAGCTCCCGGAATTGGACGGAATCAGTTCCGCCCCGGAATTGATTCCGCAATGTGCAACATCGCGGAATAGGATGTATTCTCGTTTTTTCTTGTTTGTCGTTTGATATTAAATTTAATAATAAACGTGTATTATAACCAAAATATTTTTGTTTAAGTGCTCTCTAAAAAAAAACAGTATTCTCGGAAACCAAGGGAGAAAGGTTTCCGAGTGTTCGGAAACCCATTTCTTGCCCTCGAGAACCCTTAAAACGTTTCCGATAGTAACAAACTCGTAAACCGAAAAGAGTTTCCGAGCCTCGGATACCCTTTCATGCGTTTCCGAACTTCGGAAACCTTTTTCGGTTTACGAGTTTGTTACT